TAAAAACTCTACCACACCTGAGCTCAAGGCTCTGTGCTCTCACTGCTACATCCAATAGACAGAGAGCCCAAGCTTGGAGCTTGATAATAAAGGCTCTTTGCTTTTTCATGTAGGATTTGTTTTTCATGATGGTCTTTTGGGCGTCCCTGTGATATGGGTTAACTCCAGCACTCAGGAGGCAGAAACAGTTGGTATTTTTGAGTTTGAGACCAGCTTGGTCTACAGAATGAGTTCCAGGTCTGCATAGATAAACCCTGTTTCAAACACACACACACACACACACACACACACACACACACACACACACAAATCAAAGTGTAAGATCCACCTTTAATCTGGATCAAACCTTCTCATGGTAGCCTACATAAATAAAGGCTATTGAAAGAGGAAGCTCTCTCTCTTTTTCTGCTTGCCCTAGCTCTGGCTACCAAGTTCATCCCTTTACTAACATTAGAGCCTGCTTCCTTGGAATTTTGGTGTATACTGAAGACCAGCTGAAATATCCAGCCTCATGAACTAAACAACTACTGGACTGTTCAAATTTCCATTGGTAGGCAGCCATTGTTAGACTACCTGTAGATGTATCCAACCTTCTTATTAAATAATAAACACAGAACCAATGCAAAGAAGAAAGCCAAGAGGTCAGAGCTAAGAGCTAAAACCTTACCCTTCCTCCTGCGGTGGTCCTACCTCTCCGAACCAGAGCTACTCCTGTGTTAAAGTCTTTATATAGAGTTCTTGTCCTGCCTTCTCATTGGTTGTAAACCCAACCACATGACCGCCTCCTCACGGCCTGTCTGTATAGGCCTCCAGGTTTTCCATGATTGGTATTAAGATTAAAGGCATGTGTATCCAATAATGGCTGTATCCCTGAACACACAGAGACTTACCCAGCTCTGCCTACCAAGTGCTGGAATTACAAGCATAAGCTACCACTGCCCTGCTTTCCTATGGCTTGCTAATAGCTCTGACCCACGGGCAACTTTATTTATTAACATACAGATAACATTTTAATACAAATAAAATATCACCATATTTCCCCTTTTCTATTTTAATAAAAAGGAAAAAAAAGGGCTGGAGAGATGGCTCAGAGGTTAAGAGCACTGCTTGTTCTTCCAAAGGTCCTGAGTTCAATTCCCAGCAACCACATGGTGGCTCACAACCATCTGTAATGAGATCTGGTGCCCTCTTCTGGCCTGCAGGGATATGTTCAGGCAGAACTGTATACATAATAAATAAATCTTTAAAAAAAAAAAAATCTAAAAAAAAAAAAAAAAAAGGAAAAAAAAGAAAAAGCTTATAACTAATATAAGAAAAACTATATACAAAAGGACAATAACTATATACAATATATACAAGTAATAAATACCTAAACAATGTCTAGTCCATTTGTATTTGACAAATTCAGAGAAAATAATTTCATTATCTATCCTATTTTGGTAAGTCCAAAATGTATCCTAATTAATCTTCAACTATAACTAACTAACCTTCAACTATAACTAACTAATCTTCAACTCCCTCAGAGACCCAAGAAGGAAATAATATTAGCTAACAAAAATAAAAACAGGAAGTGCACATAAGCAACTTCCAAAAAATTTGTGAGTTGACAGAAACAGCCAGCTGCCTGGACAGTCACCTGAGGTTTCTCCGAAGTGCTGGGGCATCATCTTCAGCCTATAGGCTTAGCATATCTGACAGACTCATTTGTGAAGTAGGATGTACACAAGGTCAACAGTTCAACCTCACATTGAGTGAGAGTAGTCCATGTACCAGAAACACCTGAATTCCACTAGTGTCATGTCATGATTCAGGATTTTAAATTCTGGAAATTGTTGATGGTTTTTTAATTCAGCTGTCCATTCTTCTTGGCTGTGTATATATGGCTTCATCTCAGCATCCCATTCTTCTCCATATCCCTCTATCAAATGCCAGTCTACTATTGCGAGGCGTGAGCTTAGTTACTCTTCAAGAATAACTGTTTCAGCTGCTGTTCCATTGCACATCAGAAGCCATCGGCCCACTGCCTGTTCAGCTGCCTTCGAAGAAAAGGGCACTGTACCTTTTCCGAATTGCGAAGGCCACTTCAGGGATGGTGCCATATTGTCCTGGCCTCTGAAGATGCCCTCTGATAAAGCCATAACCACACTTGCTTTGGCAAGAATCAGCAGTCCCCCGTTTCATGTCCTGTCTGTCCATTTTGTCAGCAGTTGATTCAAGGATACTTTGTTGTCCAGTGGCTAACTTTTGCCACAATGAAAGCTAACTCCATATACAGTTTCTTCAATGCCCATATTTTCTCTGAAGTAGATTGGTACTGCCAGGAGCCGACATGTCTTGTAGTCATAACAAAAAAGAAAAATTTTCTAAGTTATTAAAACATTTTAAATGCCATATTCTGTAGATCTCTGAAGGGTTTGAAGATAACCTGTCTATCTAAAATATATCTACTCAATCTTGAAAGCATACCTAATATAACTACAAGTTCTATTATAATATCTAACTACTAACTTTCATTTCTTTATATCCTAATAGTTGGTAATAACATTCAAGGATCAGAAAATTGCATTACATTGTTAGATGAATGGTACAATTAGAAAAAAATATATAACATTTTCTAACAATATCAATTTCAATATATATAATTTGTATACAATATAAAACAATCCAATCCAATGTAAAGTATTTACATTTTTCTTTTCTTTCTTTCTTTTTTTTTTTTAATAAGAACCTTAAATCTAATCTCCTTTGCTTAGCCTTTTTCCTAACCCTTGACAACAACTTGTAACCAACCCACCTAATCAATGAAAATTATCCCAGACCCAAAACCCATTAAAAGACCAAAAAAAAAACCAATCGCCCCACACCACCTCTTTGGGAATGTGGGCGTCGTATTCTTGAAATTGCTTCCTGCTGGGTATGGGCGAAGGTATCTTTATTCTGATAGAAAAATTTTAGGTTAATTGTCAAATTCTAGGAAAGGTAAATATATCCTTCGTTATCCAGTCTGTGTATAATGCCAAATTTCAGGGTTTATCTCAAGTCCTTATTCAAGTAGTCTTTGAGACTGGATCATCTCAGCTAGCTCTTCTCAAAATTGCTCTGAGCACTTTGTAGTTCAAAGCTGATCTGTAGATGATGTTTGTCAGCTTAGTGATGTTATTATTGTCCACGTGGAATTGTTGTTGTTGTGGGGCCCCATCTTCTTCCTGGAGACTTCAGTTGATGTTAGGCCTAACCGTGATTTCCTGCAAAAAGCTGATAAGAGACTCGAACACAAAGACTATATATGCAACTTTTTAGAATTAGTTAGTACTCTATATGACCATTTATATCTTAAAGTTTAAAATGTATATATACATATATATATAAAATGTATACTACTGGACTGTTCAAATTTCCATTGGTAGGCAGCCATTGTTAGACTACCTATACCACAGATTGTAAGATATTCAAATAAATTTACCTTCTATATACATGCAGAGATTCATTCTACCAGTCCTGTTCATGTAGAGGACCTTGAATAATGCAGCTGTTTTTTTGTTTTAGGTTTTTTTTTTTTTTTTTTGGTTTTTCGAGAGAGGGTTTCACTGTGTAGCTTTGTGCCTTTCCTGGAACTCACTCTCTAGCCCAGAGATCTGCCTGCCTCTGCCTCCAGAGTGCTGGGATTAAAGGCATGTGCCACCACTGTCCGGCTGTGTTTTTTTTTCCCCTTTCCATCTTCCCACTGAGGAAAACGTGCTGGCTAAAAATGGTGCTCATAAAAACATTCTTCCTAGCTCAATTATTCTATAAGTATTCAACTTTCTATGAAGATTATTTTTTATTATTATTCATTTGCTAACAGTGTGCTCTGGATTTCAGGAATAAAACTCTTAAAACAATGGAGCCTTTGAGTGGACACTAGAGTTGCAGACTAATTGTTCTAAAAAATGAAACAAAACAAAATAAACATGCCACCAGAAGATGTGCTGCCCCATTGCCTCTAGACCCACACAATTAGGAGCTGCACACCAGACATTTTCTGCCATAACCTAAAGGATATGATATAACTTAACTGGTATAATAAACAAAGAAGCAGATATGTCCTGTGGGATACAATAACATAGATTGCTAGAAGATATGGCAATTTCCTTGCAGCTGCAACTCTCCAATCAGTTCAAACCAAGCATCTCTAACTTGAAGTAGGTACCAATCCTGAGCTAGTAACTATATAGAATTGGAATTCCCCCAGATCCTCTACTCTAACCATTATAAAAACCCTGCTTGATGGCTACTCATGGTCTTTCCTGTTCTGCTGCTGTGTCAGATGGACAGAGACACCCAGGTTAACTCAAAACAATAAAAAAGACTCTTTGGTTTTCATCAGATTTGTTCTCTTGGTGATCTTTGGGGGTCTCTGGATGGTACAATAGCCACCATCCAGCTTTCTGATAGGAGAAAGACTTGTGATCAAGTTCCTGCTTTTCTTTCCTGGTTGTCTGAAGTCCCTGTGACAACCAGGTAAAAAGTACCTTCAGTTCACCTGACCTCAGTGTGAAGTCACAACAAACATATACTTTTGTGCCCTTAAATCTCTTTTTAGTTGTTAATATTCTAGGTACCCTTCAACCTGTTTGATAAGGAATCACTCCATCCTATATAGTATAGTGGGTTGTACAAGCTATCTAGCCACATTGTGTCCAGGAGGAGAAAAGGAAGTGCCTCTGGAGAGCAGGAAGATAGCAGGGTCTGCTTTAGTAGCCAGGGGCAAGGGCTATTGAAATGCTTATCTCTGTTAACCTAGAAAAGGTCTTTGTCTTGGGTGGAAGGCAGGGTCAGGAACCACTGTGTGTGTGTGTGTGTGTGTGTGTGTGTGTGTGTGTGTGTGTGTGTGTGTGTGTGTCTTTAAGCACAGTGTAACCCTATGGGAAGTGCTCTTGTCACTCAGACCTCACTAGCCAATCAGGCACTCCAGGCGACCTGCCAGTCAGAAGTTGTGCAGGGTCCTTCCGGCTGCCGGCTTCAGAAGCCGGCGCCAGCGGTTTTGTGTACGTTGCTGGGACAGCTGCTGCAGGGAGCTTTGCAGAGAGCATGGGTGAGCTGGAAAACCACGCCATGGTGAGCAGGGGCTGCTATCTCCAGACTGGGAGGAGCTGCTAGTTGAGCCATGGGAGCCAGTGTGGTGGGAACCTCCCTGAATGGGTGGGAATCAGTGGCCAGATGCAGAGTTTTGCATGTTCCTGCCTACTCCTGCATGGTCCAGAGTGGTTCTGCATGGTTCTGCGTGGTCTTTGCAATTCCCAGGGCCAGCTGGCAGCATCTGAGTAACTTCACTCTACCGGCTGCATCTGTGCAGAGCATTGGAAGTGAGACTGTGCTTTGAAATATCCTTGTTGACATCACTGTGAAAAGGCAGCACCCTTAGCGCTTGCGTTGTGGCTATGGCACACAGATTCCCCAAACTGAGAGAGCCCTGGTTCCTCTAGTATCTTCCAGAAGTTCTGCACTTTGAACATTTAACATTTTGATTTAGAATCCATCTAGCGTTAATTCTGTGGAAGTTGTAGACAGTATTTCCTGTGTAGAGTAGCACTCCACTGCTAAACTGTGATGTAGAAAAAGTAGAATTGATGGTATAAGGAGTTCTTATACCAGTTCTTAGGAGACATTAAGTCACAAAGTAGAATTTAGGTAAGGAAGGGCTGCATCACAAATACCCCAAAGGTAAGTAGCATGGTAACTATGCCTGTTAGAGATGAGTATGATAAGATGTAAATGTTTGTTCCCCAGTGTAGATTAACCAGCTACACTCCCATTACAAAGGAAGTAACCCAGCTGGGCTGTGGTGGCACACGCCTTTAATCCCAGCACTTGGGAGGCAGAGCCAGGCAGATCTCCGTGAGTTTGAGGCCAGCCTGGGCTACAGAGTGAGTTCCAGGAAAGGCGCAAAGGTACACAGAGAAACCCTTTCTCAAAAAAAAACCCCAAAAAACAAAAAACAAACCAAAAAAAGAAAGAAAAGGAGGTAACCCTGATTTACAACCAGCAGAAAGGCCCATTCCTCCATTAAAAAACTGGCATCTAAATGCTGCTCAAGGGACCATTACAGGGTCAAAACCAACATTAAGTCCTGGTGTGCCATAAAGGTATATTAGTTCCAGAACAACAGCATCTCCAGTCTTTTTGAAAAGCAGTTTTGAGTCAAGGTCTTCTATGTTGACTGAGGTGAACTTGAACCCTGTCTGTAGCCCCAAAGGGCATTGCCCTTGTTATCCTCCTGACTAACCACCCTAAATCTTGGATTACATGTCTACAGCACCAGAGAGTTCTAAATTTACCAGTTTGAGTCATATAGTGGACTGTCCATTTGCAGAATAGGGAAAGGATTTGTGTGTGGAGCATGACTTCTCCCTTCAGACCAGAAGAGGAGGAACAGTGTACTGTGTACACTGCAGGGGGAAACAGACTAGACAAAAGCTAGATCACAGACTGAAGTTGAAGACATTGAGCTGCAGAGGTCTCCATTACAAAGAACTGATGGGGCATGGTGAGTGACTTTCTGTGTATTTTCCCTGCATGTATTAATTCCTTCTATGTGAATGAAGACAGACAGAATTGGTGGGTGTACAATCTAGGGAGAATAGCTTTAACTACTAAGCATTCAGTTTCCAATTAGCAAACTCTCCTATCAGATATGTGCAAACCTGGTTGACACGGTTAAGACAGCTGAGAGGTTTGAGACACAGGCCATTGGCTGTAACTCCATGTGTTATCGTACAGCACTCAATGGCTAATATTTTACATAGTACAAAGTCATGCAGTTTCTTATTAATGGCATTCTCTCTACCAGGGAAGTGCCTAATCCATTTCAAAGTCAGTATAGCTAAGTGTTCTTCCAATTATTTTTATCATTTTAAAACATTAATTATTGGTATCATTTTAAAATTTTTCTTTAAATGCATTACTGCTATTTTTTTCTGTTTTTCAATGTTTCCCAGTTTAAGAATTTCATTCCATTTTTTTTCTTAAGGGCTGTTTATTTATATATTTATTTATGTCAGTTTAAAGCAGTGCTTCTCAACCTTGGTGGTCACGGCTCCCTTTATGGGATCAAATGACCCTATCACAGTACTGGCCTAAGACTATCGGAAAGAGCAGATATTTATATTATAATTCGTAACAGTAGCAAAAATATAGTTATGAAGTAGCAGTAAAAATAATTTTATAGTGGTGGTGGGTCACCACATCATGAGGAACTATATTAAAAGGTCACAGAAGCTGGGTGGCGGTGGCTCATGCCTTTAATTCCAGCACTCGGGAGGCAGAACCAGGTGGATCTTTGTGAGTTCGAGGCCAGCCTGGGCTACAGAGTGAGTTCCTGGAAAGGCACAAAGCTACACAGAGAAACCCTGTCTTGAAAAACCAAAATAAATAAATAAATAAAATAAAAAATAAAAGGTCACAGCATTAGGAAGTTTGAGAACCACTGGTTTAGATCAATGCCTTCTGTAGCTCAGGCTTGCCTCACACTGTCTAATTGAGGGATGCTTTGAACACCGAATCCTGCCTGTGATGCCCAGTACTGGAAAGACAGTCCTCAACACCTTCTAGGCTAGGCCTTGACTGGTCTGTGGGAAGGAAAAATAGACCAGTGAACTTCAATAGATTTTATTGTGAATTTACAAATGAAGTGGGACCTGTGTAAGAATGAGTTCACTGACCAACTGTAAAGCAGGTGTAGTCACAGCACAGAAAGGGTTGGGTTAGAAAGAGGGTGAAAGCTTTTCTGCTGTGACAGTAGTTGACATTACAAATGAGTAGTGAGGTAATCAATTTTAGGTGATCAATAAATGTCCTGACTGACCATTTCTTGGGTCCACAGACCAGGCAATCAAGAATCTGGACAAAGAACTGAATTTTCATGAAACCAAAATACTGTGGTTACACCAGTTCAACTTAAATAGAAGCACTGGATAAAATGGTGTGGCCCTGCCTAACATGACTGTGTTTTTCAGGTTTAAGATGCATACTCCAAGAGAAATGATGTGAGTAGTATTTGGTGTGCCCTAATACAAATCTCTAGCCTTAGAGCACATGGTCATAACAGAATTATTTGGGATTATAATTACATTATTTCCACTATCTCTTTCCTGCCTCCAACCCCTCCCATAAACCCTTCTTTGTTTTCTAATCCATGGTCTCTTTTTGTTTAACAACAGTTACTGTTTGGATGTGACCTGTGTTTGGTTGCAGGACCTACCAGTTGTGAAGTAAAGGACTGGCTACAATGGACATTGAATGTGTAATAGTATGTGCACACATAGAATGCTGAGCCTTAGAAGAGGAACAGGAAATGCTCTGGGAGAATGAAAGATTTTACTTAACAACAAAATTCCCAGATTAGGGTCCTGTCTGATCATAGTGTGGCAGGACAAACCTGGGAGGGTTTTTGCTCTCTGAGTCATTTGATCTCTGCTCACCCAGTAGAGTAACTGCTAATGTCCTGAAGCCCAAGCTGGGTGGTCCTAGCTAATGAGGGGCTCTGGGAAGGCTTAGCAATCAGAATACCAGTAAGGAGGTAGTTTGTAGACTCTTTCCAGGATTCTCCCCTTGGTCTGCTGTAGGGAGCTTTAAGGAAGACCACAAGCCATGCCATGGTGAGTGTGGGGGCCACTGTCCCCAGACCAGGAAAGGCAGGTTGACTAAGCTGTCAGAGCTGCTTGGACTGGGATGGACCATGAGCCAGACGAGGTTCTGTTGGTCCCTGTGGTGACCCTTGGCCTCTGAGCTATGTTGAGTGTGGATTCCCTGGGGAGGGGGAGGCTCTGCCATCCTGGCATGGGAGACTATGAGCTTGTAATATCACTTCCTCATGCTATGTAATTGAGGCTTCCTTCATGCTATGTAATTGAGAATTGCTTTGAATACCTAATCCTGCCTCTGCTGCCCAGTGCTGGGTAGATAGTGTCATAAGTCCTTCCAGTCTGGGCCTTGACTGGTCAGTGAGAAGGAAAAATAGACCAGTTAATGAGAGATCTCCAGTTTCTCTGGCTTTTAGTGGGGACTTATAAATGAAGAGGGATCTGTGCAAGAATTGAGTTCATAGGCAAATTTTGAAGCTGGTAGAGTCACACTGCAGAAAAGGAGAAGCAGGACTGTGGTTGAGAGCTTTGCTACTTCATCAGTAGTTGAGATTAGCAAAGTGGAATTAGGTGATCAATTTTAGATGCTCCATAAATGTCCTGAGTAGCCGTTTCTTGGGGTCCACAGACCAGGGCAATCAAGAATTATTATGAAATCTGATTATTATGAAACCAAATTGCTATGGTTACAGTAGTTCAACCAAAATAGTTCTGGGTAAAATGTTGTGGCCCTGCCTAACAACACTGTTATTTTTCTGCTTTTAGAGGTCCACCCTAAGATAAAAGGTTTTGAGATATCTTTGATGTGGGCTAATACAAATCCCAAGTCTCACTGGGTGGTGGCGGCGGTGGCTGCGGTGGCTGCGGTGGCTGCGGTGGCTGCGGCAGTGCATGCCTTTAATCCCAGCACTCAGGAGGCAGAGGCAGGCGGATCTCTGTGAGTTTGAGGCCAGCCTGGACTACAGAGAGAGTTCCAGAAAAGGCACAAAGCTACACAGAGAAACTCTGTCTCAAAACAAAACAAAAAACAAACAAACAAACAAAAAAACAAATCCCTAGTCTCTGGAGCACATGGCCATAAAGCCTGTTTCAACTCTTCAAAATAATTTTTTGAGATTATAACTCCATCATATCCACATTCTCTTTCCTGTCTCCAAGGCCTGCCATCACCCCTCATTGTTGTCTAATAAGTGGCCTGTTTTTCTTTAATATCAGTCACACAGTAAGTTACTGTGTGAATGTGACCTGTATTTGGCTGCCAGACTCTCAGCTACAAGGCAATGGGTTTGCTGTACTGCACATTGAGTGTGTAATGGAATGTGCACACAAAGGACCCTGTGCTTTGGACGAGGAACAGGATGTGGTCTACGAGAGTAGAAGAATATCTACTAAAATACAAACTTTCTAGACTAGGCCCCATTTTACTGGGCTGGGAGGGCAGAGCTGGAAGGACTATTCTGTCTGAGTCATTTGATC